AGTTTATAATACCATTCTTCAATAAAAATAAAAATATAAAAACAGGCTCCTTGGAGAAATCACTGTTTTGTGGACTGAGGAAGGAAATATACAACATGAACCTGGAACATCTTGTACTGAAGAAAAAAAAAATCCACAATGGTATGGGGTATGTCAAAATGACACAGGAGCCCACTGAAAGAGCCACCAATGGGCAGGGCTCAGTGGCTCAAGCCTGTAATCCCAGCATTTTGGGAGATTGAGGCGAATGGACTGCCTGAGCCCACGGGTTCGAGACCTCACTCTACAGTAAATAAATTTTTAAAAATTAGCCGGGCGTGGTAGTGCATGCCTGTAGTTCTGGCTACTTGGAAGGCTGAGTGGAAGGATCGCCGGAGCCCAGCAGGTCGAGGCTGCGGTGGCCGGGAGCGTGCCACTGCACTCCAGTCTAGGTGACAGAGTGAGACTCCAACTCAAAAAAAAAAAAAAAAAGTCACCAATGTGTAAAACTAGAACAATTTCAACAAAATATGGTATTAAATAATAACCCCAAATATAAATGCCCATGAGTCCAGACTCATAATTAAATTAATACATGGGGGAGCAGAAACATATCTCTCGTGCAGTGGAATTCCAAATAAGTTATATAGATACTCAATACTCATCCAGGTGGAGCATAACTCACTAAGTGTGGGCTGCGCATAGTGACTTCCTTTCAAAAAGTAGAGTATGGAAAGGAAGGGGAAAAAAGTAACTTTATTGTGGAGAATGCTGACAATCACTACCTCAGCCAGGCGATTAAGATTAACATCAACTGCGATGATAAATGTGTGTCCTTGATGAGACTAGAACTTTATCTCAGTGGTCTTCCCAAAACACACACAAACCCAGTCTAGCCATGAGGAAAACATCAAATACAAGGGGTGCTCCTCCAAAAAGCAGAATTACTTTTTGGAGGGTGGGCCCATTGTAGTATAGGCTTTCCTCCAGAGGTAAGTGTTCTAGGAACCCACTGGCAACAGTGTACCAGCTAGTATTGTAGTGAGAGGCTGCGTTCGGCTTCAGTGATATTTTTGTGGTAAACAGGCGACTGGTTCTACACCTGCTCACACCACACTTTGTGTTCAGCAGTTTTTGACCAAAAATGGCATGACCCCCAATGTTCCACCCTCCCTATTCACCCAATCTTGCCCCGAGCGACTTTTTTTGTTTCCCCAGAAGAAAAAAGTCCTCAAAGGTAAACGTTTTGCTGATGTGGAAGAGGTTAAAACAAACAAACAAACAAAAAAACAGCAGACGCACTAAAAGGCATCAAAATTGATGAGTTCAAAAACTGTTTTGAGCAGTGGATAAAGCATCTCAAAAGGTGTATTCTTTAAACGGAGACTACTTTGAAGGCGACTGAAATTTAAACATGTAAGAATAAATGCACAATGTTTTAATAAATTCCAGAGTTTTTTGAGTCCCCCTTGTAAATCCCAGCAGAGGAGCAGTCTATAAAACAATTAACCAGTACTCTTAAAAACTGTCAAGATCATCAAAAACAGGCAAAGTCCAAAAAACTGTCACAACCAAGAGGAGCCAAGACATAACTAAATGTAATGTGGTCCTCTGCATGAGATACTGGAACACAAAAACGATGCTAGGTAAAAACCAAGGAAATCTGAATAAAGTGTGAACTTTAGTTAATAATAATGCATTAAAATTGGCTTGTTGATTGTATACAGTGCCTCATGCTAATATATTATTAGGGGAAACTGAGTGTGGGGTACGTGGGGACTCTATCTTCCCAACTTTTCTATAAATCTCAAATAGTTCTAAAGAATAAAATTCATTGGCCGGGCTCGGTGGCTCAGCCTGTAATCCCAGCACTTTGGGAGGCCAAGGTGAGAGGATTGCCTGAGCCCGCGTGTTCAAGACCCGCCTGGGCAACTTGGCGAGACCTCATCTCTACAATAAATCAAAAAGTAGCCGAGGGAGGTAGCGCACGCCTGTAGTTTCAGCTACTTGGAAGGCTGAGGTGGAAGGATTGCCGGAGTCCAGCAGGTCGAGGCTGCGGCGGCCGGGAGCGTGCCACTGCACTCCAGTCTGGGCGACAGAGTGAGTCTCGACTCAGGAAAAAAAAAAAAAAGAATAAAATTCATTTAGAAAATACCATTTTAAAATACCATTTAGACCGTTGAAAAGAGACTAGAGGCCAGGCACAGTGGCTCACGCCTTTAATCCCAGCACTTTGGGAGGTTGAGGCAAGAGGGTTACTTGAGCCCAGGAATTCAAGACCAGCCTAGGCAACACAGTGAGAACTCGTCTCCACACAAAGAAAAATAAATAAATAAATAAAAATTAGCCAGGTGTGGTGACACACACCTGTAGTACCAGCTACTCTGGAGGCTGAGGCAGGACTGCCTGAGCCCAGGAGGTTGAGGCTGTGGTAAGCTGTGATTATGTCACTGCACTCCAGCCTGGGTGACAGAGACCCCCAACTAAAAAAAAGAGAGACTAGAGAGACACACTAATCAACATGATTTGTGCACCTTGGCAGAGGGCAGTTATAAAAGCTATTTGGGGGACACATGGAGAAATATGAAACAATATTGGATGGTTGGTTGTTTTTACTTGTGAGAACAGAATCGTGGTTAAATGGGGAGAATGCTCTCATTCTTGTTGGAAAGGCACACTGACATATTTAAGGATATAATGAAGTGTGATAATGAACTCTGCAACTTACCTCAAATGATTCAGGAGTAGGGAAAATCACATCTGAGAGAGAGCAAAAGCAAAGGAGGCAAGGTGTTAGAAATGGTGAGCCTAAATGAAAAGTATACTGGTGTCCATCATACTACTCTTACATTTTCTGTAGGTTTGAAACTTTTCAAAATAAAATTTCAGGAAAATTATCAGTATGACTTTAGATTTGGACAAAATGATACTAAAGCTTATCTGGAAAAATATACATGCCAGAATAACAAGGGGGGAAAGTCCTGAAAGAGAAAGAGGTATGGACTAACGATGCCAAATATAAAAATGTATAGCAAAATAATTAAAAGACTAGTATTTTTTGCAACAGACTGCAGAGCCCAGAAGTAGATGCAAATGGATATGTGGAAATTCAATGTATGCGTGAAGATGGTTTTTCCCATCAGTATGGAAAAGTCAATAAACGGCATTGGGATAGACAGCTATTTGAAGGAGAAAAATGTTGAAACCTTACCTCACTCCCACTGCCTAAACAAACTCCAAATGAATCAGATTTAAAGGTTAAAAAAAAACCTTAAAAGTACTGGAAAAATACATTAAATTTATTCCTAAATGCAAAGAAGACCTTTCTAAGCAAGGCAAAATCCCAGAAGCCATAAAGACTAAATTTAACTACATAAATAAATCTCAGGAAAATATTATTAAACATGACAACAAACCAATTTTCTTAGCTTACAAAAAGCTCATACAAATCAATAAAAAACAAATCAGGTAAAAGAAAACAGAACATGACTACACAGTTCACAGAAAACAAAATAACAGTGACCAAAAAACATGAAAATGTGTTCCATTTCCTTTATTAAAATACATTAGACATTTAAATTGCAAGATACCATTTATTCACTTTCAGATGATCAGACTTCAAAAGTTCAGTATCCAGTATTGGCAGGGGTCTGGTTAATAATCATTATTGTACATCATATGTGAAAGCATACTGGGCAAAGATTTCTAGAGGACAATTTGTCATTAACTACTGAACTGAAAATGTAAAAGATCCTCTGATCTAGCCATTATACTGCTGGGAATTAACCCTGAATATATAATTTCATTATATGTTCAAGTATGTTCACTGATATATAATCTAGTAAGAGTGAAATTAAAAGTCCATCAATGTTTGAACATGACAACACATTCAAACATTAGAATACCACAGTCATTAAAAAGAATGAGGTATTTCTACAGATGTTGATACAGAAAGGTCATATAAAATAGGTAGCAAAAAAAAGCAAGGTACATATGAGTGTATATACCGTAGTCTAATTCCATTAATGTGAAACTTTTTTAAAGTATATGTTTGCTGGCAAATTAAAAAACTGTTTTCCTGTGAGAACATATAAGACACCTGAAGTTGGTTACCTTTAGAAAGAAATATTAGGATAGGAGAGAAGGGAGTAAGTTTTAATTTTATGCCTTTCTGTAGTACCATCTGATTTTTTTGCCACATGTATTTATTTTCTTTTTAAGAACATGTGATTGGCAGGTTATTTTGAGATATTCCTAGGTAGGTTTGAATACTGGTGATGCTATTTTTCAAAATACCATAGGTAAGTGCCACATTGTGTGAATTAGAACTTTCCCTTGGATTTTTTTTTTTTTTTTTTGAGTCAGATTCTCACTCTGTTGCCCAGGCTGGAGTGCAGTGGCATGCTCAAGATCACCACAGCCCCATCAGGTGATCCTTCCACCTCAAGCTTGCAAGTAGGTGGAACCACAGGCATGCGCCACCAAGCCCAGCTAATTTTTTTTTTTTTTAATTGTAGAGACAAGGTCTTGCCATATTGCCCAGGTTGGTCTCAAACCTGTGGGCTCAGGCAATCCTCTTGCCTCCGCCTCCCAAAGTGCTAGGATTACAGGTGTGAGCCACTGCACCCGGCCCCCTTGGATTTTCATTAAACTTCAGATTTTTACCCTAATGCTTTAATCACAATGATTTCCTGTTAAGTATAAAGTGACATTTTGTAATGGCAGTTGGCTATGTAACAAATTTGTGATTAGACACTGCTGCTTAAGAACCGATTCTTACACACAAAGGGCATTTGATGATTTAGAAATGAGATCATACATTCTATTTTGACTATTAAAAAACATGAAATTGCAATAAGATTGTACATGCACAATTAGAAATAAATTATCCATTGAATTTAGTAAAACACATTACAGTGGAAAAAAGACAGTCATAAAATTAGCTTTTACATTTTTCTGGGGACAGAGAAGCAGAAAAAATGAGATTAAAACAAAAAAACAAAAAAACACTACCAAAAATGGGGTGAGACAATCATTTATTTATTGGACAGGGCAAGGTCATTTAAAGAGAGAAAACATGTCCAAAAAAATATGTTTAGTTTGGTGTTACAGGCATTGATGCTCACAACAAACAACACTACTCAATACATCATGGAAACAGGCCACATACAACCAGGAAGATGCTGTCATGCCACTGAGAAATAAGCCACAATGTTTAGGAAACAATCATTTGGAAGTTACAAAGCATAACAGTCTCCAATTCACTGATCTGTATTTTCTGATGCTGGGCCCATAGAATTTGGCTGGTTCCCTGGTTATCAAGAAGTGAGTCTTACTATATTCTGGAAAACCTTGACTGGTACACACTTCTGAATGTCACTGAAATCACACTCAACTGCAGGCTTAACTAGCTCACATCACTACATTTTTTTAACTACCCTAGGCAGTAATGGACTGTCTCATAATATTATACATAAAATTCTGCACTTAATACATTTAGCAGCGTTACAATACACCCAAATCACCTTTAGTCTTATGGTTCATACTTTTAAAAGACAGCAGAAACTCACTAAAGTAAATTAAAGAAACTTGGGGCGCTCACCTAGCCTGAGGTCTACAAGCTGATAGCAAAGGTGGGCATGCCTGAAGAGTGCTTTATCAATTACTTGCCAACTTATTTGGCATCACTTTTAACAAGACTTTCCCGATCAGGAAGGCAATGATTTCAATATCCATTGTAGAGACTAGCCAACATATTACAAGTTGTAGTATATCATGATTGCTTGGCTATAAGGAAAAACTATTCAGCATAAGATTAACTGAGAAACCTGTTAGGTATCTGGCCCTCCCTCCTTAAATCTATTGATTTTACCAACCACTCCCTTTCTCAGCAATAAGAACTTATCACTCCACATAGAAAACCATACTTGGGAAGCCAGTCACAAAAGACCAGATACTGTAGAATTCCATTTATATGAAATGATCAGAAGAGGCAAATCTACAGAGACAGAAGTAGATGAGTGGTTGCAGGGGCTGGAGGAACACTGGGAGGAAATGAGAGGTGACTGCTAAAGGCTTCTTTTTGGGGTAATAAAATGTAAAATTGATTGTGGTCGTGGTTGCACAACTTTGTGAATATACTAAAAACCACTGAATTGTACCCTAAAATGGGTTAATTATAAGTTATGTGAACTACATCTCAATAACATTGTTACAAAAACATATTAGGAAAGGAAAACAACCCCAAAGGAGAGGCTCTCTCAAATCAAGTCATACCTTAGAAAACAATAGATATGTCTGATGAAGGAGTTGTTTCTCACACATGATTGTGATTTAATTATCATCACTTTAACTTCTGACTTCACACTTTTAATTCATTTCTTAATTATTTTAGGTTATCAAGTTTCTAACTTTGATCTCCACAGACAGACTAGGTTGACAAAACAAAACTAAACAACAATAAAAACCCAATGACAAAATAATTTCATGCTTTGGGGCTATGTATTACCAGGCAGAAGAGAAGAGTTGAAGTTCATTTTAATGGGGAAAAAATGCCATCAAGTACAAGGGCATCTTATGACTCTTGCTTAAAGCACATTTCCTTGTCAAACCTGCATACAGTTATTCCCTTTACACCTATACAATTCAACAAAAGCAGTATTTTTATACCTGTACATTCCAACAAAAGCAATGTTCACTACAAAGAAATGTTGAGCTTCCTGCAACTTTATAAATTAAAAAGCTAGCCAAATTTCCTTAAAAGTAAAATTACTGTTTCCAAAAATATTCAACTCTGTATCCTCATCCTCACCTTCAACAACATACACTGAAGATAGAAAGCACTAAGCCTGCTATAAATCAGAAGCTACAAAACAATTTCTTAAATGACCTTACTTTTCCAAAAAATTAAAGTTATTAGTTCCAAATATGTAGAATATACTTGGCATAATTTCTTCGAAACCTGCCTTTAAATTAATTAGAAGTTTCCTTTATTTTCATTAATTCATGAGTTTAGTATAAAATAAACAGACACTCTGAATAAGTTAACCTGGCTAATGACAAGTAATCAGCTTTCCTCCATGATTAGTCCTCTTCTACATAGGCAGCATAATGAAGTTACAAAAGGTCTTTTAGGTCTATCTATCTTCAACTATTCTTACACTACATGATCAATTAGGGGAAAATTTTACAGATAAAGAGAATATAAGTAGTTTTACAACAAGCTGAGCTTGTTAAATATATTGGTTATGACAAAGAATTTCTGACACAAAAATTGTTCACTGCACACAGAACCTCAGAGAAGTGATGAAACAAGACAGCTGATGTTAGAAGGTATATGGGAGCAGGGTGGGGTGAGAATTCACAGAAAGATTAAAACCTGGCAAGTATCTGCTGCAGCAGAGCCACATTTTAGAGGACACAAGAAAAACTGATAGGTCACCTTTTGGTCTCATTAGGGAAGTCCATTTGTTAAGAACTGAAGACCATTTTGCTATAATTCATGCTCCAAAATGTAGTCGTCATACAGTATTTCCAAAAGAATTCAAAAAACTGTAGCGCAAAAGAAAATAAATCTCAGAAAATAAATAATCACAAAAACCACCAACATTTTCCAAGGAAATGTGTTCAGAACAGTGGCTTTTACAGAGGATGTGAATTTGTATTAAATGTAACAAAAATTCCCTAAACGAAAACTCATTTCACAGATAACTCATAGTGCATTAATGATTTGATTAATGGTGTATAAACAAGGGCCATAGTTTTTTGTTTTTTGTTTTTTTTAGTTAGGTCTGAAAGATCAATATAAATACTGATGGGGGGGGAGTGCTTTATACCCCAAACTCCAATATTCCAAGCTCTGTGTCCTGTCCTGTTATTATAATTTGTAAAAATCTTAACGACGCAGTGATTCGTGTTTTCGTAACTTCAATGATGTGTTAGAGGGCAATGCATCTTGGTTTGAAGAATTTTGTTGTATCCGAAGGCCGGAACAGTACTCGACCACGATGATTAAATACATAAAAGGATGGGTGATTCCTTAATGTATCAAATGTCCTTAAAAGGAAAAAAAGCACCAATTTTAGATAAACCTTTATAAAAGCCTATTTGAAAATAAGCAGGCTTCTAATAAATTATGAATTTGCTATGGGTTACATTTCTAATGAGTATAGATCCAGGAAATCAGACTGTTAATAATAATACTGTATCTCTTTTTTTCCTGTGGTAAGGGGGAACCTGGAAAAGCAGCAGAAAGCCCTCGAATGTTTTTTATTCAGCCATTCCTTCCGGGATGTCTATGAATCATGAATAATAACACAAATACTAGTTCAACTTTAAATCTAACAGCAGCTCATGCCAAATAGTTTCTCAAAAAATCCACACACACATTGCACCTTTGATTATTCTCATTTGGCCCTCACTATTCAATCCATATGATCATTTCACAGATCTGTTTTCCAAGAATCTTTCAAGTACAACAAAAAAATTCCTTTTGGCCCTCTGTACATGCTATTGTCCAAACACATATATTGTGCTACCACTTACTTAATGTCATTCTGTTTTACTTCTTTCTTTCCTGGCCCCTTGCCTGTGATTCTTGGTAGACTCTTTGTAAGAGCAATGGTGATAGTGAAGTATCCTTTACTTTTCCAGTGAGATATATATATATGGTCTAAAAATGTTCCCAAACACCATGGTGTATGGCCTTTAGTGTTTGTTTTTAAATATTATTTTCCTGGAAAGAATAGGAAAATGCTTCCTTTGCTAAAAACTCAAATCTCAAAGTCAGCCCACCTAAACATCCAAGCATACCCCTATACAAAACAGCGGGCCTGATATTTGACTATCTAAAATGTAAATAATGAACTAAAAGTGAAAGAGGGGGATGAGTTTCCTCTAGCACATAAATGCTTAATGTGACTCCTTCTAAGAAAATATCGTAAAGGGCTATCACTTCCAGGATCCAGAAGGTAGGTGAAGTCCAGAGATGGAACTGAACAAAGCTAAAGGCTGATTTTAGGAAAGTAAAACTATGAAAAAGAAAAGTGAACAAAGCTCGTGAAAACAGCTTTAAAGAGAGAGAGAAAAAGAAAGCAGAACAACAAATATATTTTTAATCCAGAATCTGAGAACAGAGTTTATGTCACATACTAGATTCAAGTGAAAGAAGAAATAGAAAATCCCTTATTCTTCCAAAGACTAAACTGGGACAAGAGACAAGAGGGAGGGAGGAAAATAAGAAGGGTGGGAGAAAAAGAGAAAGGGAGAGAGCTCGGTTAAGGAGTTTCAGATGCATTATCTGTCTATATATCTATTTGCATCTATCTGTCCATCAACTAACCAGTAATTTGAAGCAACAAGCAGACACAATACCTTATTCTACTGGCAATCAACTTTCATTTTTCCTATAATATTAAACACTGTCTTAATGTTTTGACCTTATTATTCATACAAACTGCATAATCAGAATGTAAAAACAAAACCAACATTTATGTACCAGCATACATTTTAAGTTATGTGAATAAAGCAAATTCTTATGAAATTCAATGCCTATGAAAAGAGAAAGACTTACTTATTTTTTAATTCTGAAGTGGCATCCATGTCTTTAAATTCCCCTGCAATATGAACTATACCATAACAGGTAACTGCAAAGGCCAGAAGTGTCTGAAGAACTATCTGTGAGTATAAAGACTGTGATTACTAAATAACACACAAATAATATAAACATTTACAACATTCTCTCCACCTCTATAGCCTCTAGCAGGTAGTCCTCTCAGGGCCACTCATCAGGGAGCCAATTCTCACTTGAAATGACTTGGACTCAGATGCAATAAAATCTTTTATTTGGGGCTGCAAAAATACTTCTGATGCTTCAATAAATGAACCTAGTGATGTGCTCAAATAAAATCACAGAGCACTGAATGGTACTGAGTCACTCAGAACTCAATTATCAAATATTACCTGCCCCCAAGACCAATTAGAACCTTGTAATGGTATGATTGTTAAATATCACACATCGAGTACATAAATCATATATGTGCAGTGTAAACAAAAAGCTATTCAGCTACTCAGGAGGCTGAGGTGGCAGGATCGCCTAAGCCCAAGAGGTCAAAGATGCGGTTATCCATGATCGTCCCACTGCACTCCAGCCTGGGTGAGAGTGAGATCCTGACTCAAAAAATAAAAGAAAAAAAATAAGAAAAAGAACAAAGCAATAAAAAGATCACTTACCCACCACCCAGCTTAAGAAACAGAACATTCCAAGTACCTTTCAAATCCCACGTGTCCTCTTCAATTATATCCTTTACTTTCCCTTTCAGTTAACTATGTCCCCAATTGTGTATTATTCAGTTCCTTGCTTTTCTTGATAATTTTGCCAGCTATGTGTAAATCTCTAAAATGTGTATTGCTTATTTTTGCCCATTTTGCACTTTACTTAAATAGACTCACATGTATTCTTTTGTGTGTAACTTTCCTGGCTCGACATTATCTGAGATTCATCCCTGCCATAGTATGTAGCTGTAGTCCATTCATTTTCAATGTGGTTTGTATTTTATGATATGAATATACCATACTTGATCCGTTCTACTGTTGCTGGATATATGGGTTGTTTCCTGATTGTTACTTTTACAATATTAACATGAATATTCTTGAGTATGTCTCCTGGTGCACAGAAGTAGAAACACTGAGTATGCACAAGTTCAACTTTATTATCTAATTGCTTTCCAAAGAGGGTGAGCAAGCAGAAATGTTGAATGTTTAATTTTTTATTTTTTGAATGTAGGATTTATTGAGAGGACAGAAAAGTTCCCACAGTGGGAGGGAACCTGAGGGGGCTACCCGAATGTTTAATATTAGCTAACATGGGATTACAGACATATTTTCTTGATTGTGATCTTCCGTATTTTTCAAATTTTCAAATTTATACGCAGGAAAAGCTATTAGACATAAACGAGTGTGTGTGTATATATCACAAAGCAAAGATGAGAAAAAGTTAATAGCCTCATCAACCATACCCTTAATTATAGGAGACTAAAGTAAAAATTATTCACAAGCTATTATTCTGTCTACATTAAAACCTACTATCATATGTAATACCAGTTTACATTTCACCACCAGTGTACCAAGACTTATTTCATACGATGCAATCAGATACTTATCTTTGAGTTGTCATGAAAATGTGTTCAAGATAACTTGTTAATAAGAAAGCTAATTATAAAACTATTTATTTATTTATTTATTTATTTAAGGGATAGGGTCTCACTCTGTCAGGCCAAAGTGCAGTGGCACGATCATAGCTCACTGCAGCCTTGAACTCCTGGGTTTAAGTGATTCTCCTGCCTCAGCCTCCACAGTAGCTGGGTCTACAAGCATGTGGCCACCACGCCTGGCTAATTATTTCATTTTTGTAGAGACGAAGTCTCACTTTGTTGCCCAGGTTGGTCTCAAACTCCTGACCTCAAGTGATCCTTCTATCTTAGCCTCCAAAGTGCAGAAATAGCAGGTGTGAGACACTATGCTCGGGAGCAATTTTTTTTAATGTGTGTTTTAATTAGTAAAACTATAAACAATACATACATAAATTAAGATAATGTTGCACAGAAAGAAGCCCGAACTGCTACACTCCAAAATGTTAAGGGTAGAAGTAGAATTGCTAAGGAACAGTATCAGTTTATTTGGGGCGGGGGGAGATAGTGTTTTGATTGTGTGGGGTCAGTTTTAATTTTTACACTTATTTTTTGATTCTGTTACAAAGAACTTACTACTTTTGTAATTTCAAATCCAGTAAAGATAAAAATTGTGAATATATATCATTTCAGCTTACTAACCATTTTCCTGTTTTTCTCTAGTTTGACCACCTATATGTGTCTCTAAATAATGTATTGCTAGCTTTGCTTGTTTGCAAACTTTACATAAAAAGGAACTTTTCTGAAAATTAAAGTCAAATAATCAATGTTTAAGATAATCTGACATTACAGACAGAGTAACTTCTAGAAAGACTATTTCATCTACCATTCTAGAAATCAAACAGATAAATCTTGTAAGGCGTCCAAATCTTTGGGTTTTACGATGAGTAATGAAAAATAGAGAACAGATGTTATTTCATGTCTGAAAAATCTTGAGAATAAAAATTAGTTAAAACGATCATAGAGCTTGTGACTAATTTTAACAATATATTTTAATGGAATATAAATGACCAACTTACATCTATTGGCAGTGATTCATCTTCCTTTTCTGTTAATCGCATATAAGAACGATCTATAAACCAGAAGCATACCATTAAGGAAATTGTAGCTCATTTTTCTTTCTTAAAATGCAAGCAAATCAATATACCAAAGTGACTGACTTAAATGTACCTAAAGTAATGCTAATCCCGGATTCCTCAAAACCCACTATCTTCTAAAGCCTTATCTAAAGCCTTATCTTAACTATTGTATTTTCATCATGACCTACTTTGTTACCTTATAAATGGGTATGAGTGATAGGTGAACAAGTATAAGGTAGAAATACCTAAGTATAATTTTCCTTTCATTACTACAGAAAAACTAGAAATCTCGGAAACAAACTGTTTCTTTCACTATGTGGTCAAAGCAATCACAATTATTTAAATTAAAATTCTGCTGATGCCCTGACCTTAGGAGGCAGCAAAGGATAAAAGAAAAGGATCGGGATTTGGAAGCTGATAATCCTAGATCATAGTACCAACTCTTCAATTTACTGGACTTTACTATAATCTCATTCTATTTAAGACACTCTCAGTGATTGTGACATGTATCTCGATTTCCGAGTGGGAGGAGGAGTGTCTAAGAATCAAAGAAATACAGTGTTTACTTTTTTTTATGAGATTCACAACAGTAAAATGGGAATAATGTGAGGAAGAAATGAGATTCAGTACATGATTGGTGCATTGCTATAACAAATTTCATTACAGCAAAGATGAAGGCTACCACAGCACCACAGTATGCCATATCTGCTGCTGCACTGACATGACACATTTAGACTCAAAGGTAAATATTACTACTCTTTTCTCAACATGAGTGTTATAAAGGTTTCACTGTAGTGCCAAATCCACAAGGCAGTCTTATCACCTGAAACATAAAAATACAAAATCTTAATGCTAGATGAACCTAGGACAATCCCTATTATGAATGCATTTTGGACTAAAAAGCTCAAATGGCTTTGAGTGAATGTGTATTGAGTCTTTCTTAAAAGAGAATGTGTCTAGTGACATTTCTTAAGTTTTAACTTACAGAGTTGTCATAAGGACAGGTGTAAAAGAAAAATCAAACCAATAGCGAAAATAGATCTTGACTAACCTCCTTCTGTCTGTTCCATTCTCAGCTAGATTTCTTGTTTGCATGAAGCCTAATCTGACTCTAACACTGCCTTTAACCAGGCATTTCCTCATCTGTAAAATGAAGGGATTTGACTTCAGTGATCTCCAAGGACCCTCCTTGCTCTATGACTGTATAATTTTACAGCTAAAGCTTATTATAAAAAATTTTTAAAGGACACAGTGCTCCAGTGTATCCTAATCATCTCCAGGACAGTGCTTCTCAAACTAATGTGCATACAAATCACCTGGGGATCTTATTAAAAGCAGATTCTGATTCAACAATCTGGGGTGGGGCCTGAGTGTTTTCTAACAAGCTCCCAGGTGATACCAACGATGCTGGCCCGTTGACTACACTTCGAGCAGCAAGGCTCTAGGATACTCTCCTTAACCCTCCAGCTCCCCTGCAAAATGACTGTCCCTGCTTCCATGCATCCTCATATACTTTCAGCACAGTATCTGTATCACTTTATTGTGATTACTTACTGAGTCACTTGTTTCTCCACTAAACTTTGAAGTCCCTCAAGGCATCACTGTATCTCTAGCACCTAAGCACAGCGCAGTTTCAACCAGTGACCCAAGACTGAATTTTATAATGCAGGGTGTAGCACAAATCTTTTGCCCAAGGTCACACAAGTTTAGCAGTAAAGCAAGTTTTTGACAACCAATCCTTTAGACTCCCAGTCCAGTGCTCTTTCCTCTGTACCACAGTGCAATCACTTAACTTCTCAGTCTCTGCCTGGACAGTCCAGGAGTATCCAAGATACTGTCCACCCAGTTGTCATGGGACCACGAGCATCCAGAGTCCTCAATCCCACACTGCCTGATGTGCCCCATGCTGGATCTGACATCACTTGTCCTGGATTCCCGGATAGACTTCCACTCGGAACCCTCTCCCAGACATCCCCTTTCCAATCTTCCTGCAATCCCAGGTTTCCTATTCTCCAAAATTTCAAACTCCAAACCTTCGACTGGGGATCCCTGCACTGCTTTTCTTGGTCACCCCAAACTGCAAGGTCTCAAATGACAGCTCCTTGGACAGTCGGTCCGACAGTCTCTTCGGGTGTGCTCACACACCACCCCTGGGGTCCCACACGGGAGCTGTCCCCGTCCCCCAGGTACTTACGCTGCGCAGCGGAAAAGGCGGCGTGGGCTAGGGCAAAGAGGCCAATGCCTACCAGCCCCTTCCACAGTGACGGCGCCATGATTCCGAGGGAGCAGCAGCCCAACAAAAGAAGCGAAGGGCAGCGGAGCTGTTTCTTCTTCCACCTGCGGTGTCCGCGCGGCGCCGAAAGATGACGCCACCGAAGTCCTGGGCGCGAAGTGTCCCAGTGGTGGAAAAACCAGAGAGACTCGAGAAAGCGGAAACATGAATGACGGGAAGAAGGGGGAAGCGACACGGAAAAAGGTTCACGAGAGCCTGCGAGCCTGCGCCGTGCAGTCTCTGAGGGGGGCGGAGCTAAGGGGAGGCGTAAACCAAGAGGCAAAAACGGGAGCAATGGGGAAACAGGAGGAAGGGCGCCAGCAAATGAGCGCGGGCCGCGGGAGAAGAGGGCGGGCTTTCTGGGAGGACAGGGTGGGGCCGAAGGGCGAGGCTGGAGGCGGTGGTCAAAGGCCTTAAGTACTGGGTATAGACCACCGACAGCTGTGTTTTGGTGGTTGATGAGTGTTGGTTTTCCTTCAAGCTGTGCCTCTTTTGTTTTCTCTAGGCCTATTCTGTGCTTCAGCCCTCAGGGATTTAGCACCGCGGGGAGGAGGCAAGGGTGTTAAAGCGAGGAGGCAGATGGAGTGTGGAGGACAACAACCCGGGATTTAGAGTCCCAAACACTTGGCACGCGCGGAAGATGCTCAGTAAATCCTTCTCCTTACCTTCAAAAGGGTTTGGAGAAAGATTCGTGCTCAAAGGCATGTAGTGGCGGCAGTGTTTTGTCTTGAACCAGTTTACATTAAGGAAGAAATGAAAGAGGAAATTTTAAAATGCGAAATTTAAAAATGCCAACAACGCAGCCTCACCTTGTCTCTGATCAGGATAAAATGTACGCTCTTTTCTCCATTTTTCTTTGTCTTCATCCCCGAAAATGTAGAAGTTCAATAGTGAGCTCCCCTTGACCTCCTTTCACACGGCTCTCCCCTGACGGAGCTCTCTCATTCATTCCCATCGCTTCAGCCAGCATAGATATTGTAGTGATTCCAAATCATCACCTCTATCTCAAATATCTCTCCTTAGCTCCAGTACTTCATTTCTGACTATTTGCTGGACATTTGTTTTCATGTGAATGATCTTGTGGCAATTCAAACTTAAAATGGTCAAAACGGAATTCATCCTTTTTTCCAGAATCCACCCCATTCCTCCAGTGTCCCTTGACTGAGTAGCAAAGCTTTGTAAACTGCATATCCCAAGGTAAATGCAAAGTATGATCACCATTCTTTCCCCTAACCCTATTAGAATTCTACACTTTGGCTGCATCCGTTTGCACACCCTCTCTTGCTCAAATATGCTTATCCTGACCACCCTTTTAAAATTTGCAATATTCCCATTCCTGATCCCCTAATCCTGCTCTATTTTTATCTCACACTCTAACATACGATATAATTTACCTAGTTATTATGTTTGTTGTGTTACTATTGTTTACTGTCTTTCTTTGCCCACTGTAATGTAAACTCTGAGAGGGGAGAGATTTCTCTGTGCCTAGAACTTTCACTGTCACAAGGTAGAAATTCAACAAATGTTTGTTGAATGAAAAATGAATAAATTATGGAAAAGAATTGGGAGGGTATCGCTATTTGAGAAGATCTCTACAGAGTCCTTTCATTATTTTGAACTGGGCTCAAAATCCCTGTGGACTCTTAAGTTTCGATAAACCTTTTATTATAAACATTTTTTGGTATACTTGAGCTTCCTCAAAGCTAAAAAATAAAGAAGACATAGAAGATTCATCATATTTCCTCAACTTTAACTTTTGTCCTTGATTCTGTCTTCCAAATCTTTAGTCATGGTCATTATTTTTCTCTGGATCTTCTTCAATTTCATCACCTCTAAGCCAAAATTTTACACAGTACTCGATCAATGTCCAATGCAGTATAATGAATTCCTTGCAAATGTAGTCCTATTTTTAAACCTCACAATCAAGAAGAACCAGGAAGTAATCTCTCTGTAGTTGGCAGGAAAGTGCTTCCTTCTCCACCCCTGGGAGTTGGTAAGATAAAAAAGATAATTGACAAAAAAAAATCTTAAAACTTTGTTTTAGCTTGGATAATGGTCAAATTGAAATTAGCCTTTTTAGGTGCCCTGTTAAATTCTCTCTTCTAATATCAATTTATCTGAAGCAGAAAATGATTAGGAGTTTTTTAAAATAGGATCTGAGCTCTGGTTCCTTTCATTTAAAAAGATGAGGTTATAGAAAAAAAGAAGGTCAGTAAGAAATCTGGTATTTGTATAAGCCACCAATGCATTATCTTAGTCTTCGGGGAAGTGACCCGTTTCCAGATATTATTTTGCTGTCTCTTTTGCTCTTTAAGATGCATTTTCCACTCTCTTCTTTTTAACCTACTACTCATGTACTGAGTACTAGAGAAACTAGCTTAGTTTCACATTTTCTAGTAACAAATGGTTAAATTAACTTCATGGGGTGGAATTTTAGTTGTCTTTTCTGTAGATTTCCAGACTGAAGGGAAGCCAAGGTATGCATAGTCACAGTTCCAAGTACCTTGGGTCCACTGATACATGATTCCCTAGGTTGGAGTTAATCCCAAAGGTGCAAGGTACAGCCAGTGGCAGCAATGTTTTTGTGATCTCTTAGAACAAAAGGTACAGCTAGTGGCAGCAATATTTTCATGATCTCTTAGAACAAAAGTCAAACCTCATGAGAAAGAATATTTAAATTCCTAAGTGATCACAGAAATGCCTTTAGAAATGCCCAAAGAAACAGTCATTTTCCATATGCACCATGAACAAATGATGTGGATGTTATTAAAGTGGGGGTAATAATCTTTATGGCATTCTCTACTGAGATGTTATTTGTGAAGACTCATCACGTTTTCCAGGCTGATTCACTTAATAGAGAAAACACTGCTAGCCCAGAACTGTCTCCAAGTTAATTGACTTTGTCACATGCCACCCAACTCGATGAGTATTTTCACAGTCTACTCATCTATATCTCCATTTTCCATACAGATTCCCTCTCTATCTGGCACACTATGTCCTTTTCTACCTAGTTCAAATTCCACTTTCTAGCCGGTATAGTGGCTCACGCCTGTAATCCCAGCACTTTGAGAGGATTGCTTGAGCCCAGGAGTTTGAGACCAGCCTGGGTAACATAGCAAGATTTCGTCTCTACAAAAAAAAAAAAAAATTAAAAAATTAGCCAGGCATGGTGGTGTGCACCATAGTCCCATCTACTCAGGAAGCTAAGGTGGGAGAATCACTTGAGCCCAGGAGTTTGAGACTGCAGTGAGCAACAATCGTGTCACTGCACTCCATCCTGGTTGACAGAGTGAGACCTTGACTCAAAACAAACAAATGAAAAATCCATTTTCCCTGGAATTTATTCCCAACTATTGTAGATATTTATAAGAGGTATATATCTGTTATAGGCACAAAACCTTTCTTCAAGCTGTTTATATTTAGTACAAACTTTCTGGGTAGCACATTCTAGAAGTTTACTACCTGCTGGGTAAAGTAGTATTTTCAATACTGAAATTACATCCTCCCTACTTTTTGTTTCTTTATAAAAGTGGTGCGTGTTCATTGTAAGAAATTCATACAACAACAAAAATATATTCCCCTTAAAGCATTAAGTGGTGCCTTGGTATTTTGAGATTTGAATCTTAGCAAACAAGACTGTAATTACATGATTCATATCTTTAAGGTTTGTTTGTTTGCTGGATAACCATCCAGCATTGGTTATAAGCATATGCTCTAGAATCATATGGGCTTTGAATCCTTGCTTTTGCTTTGCTACTTCTGGGGGACTAAAAAAGTTACTTAACTTCCCTATGCCTCAGTTTCCTCATATGTAAAGTGAGGATAATAATAGTGCTTACCTACCAAGACTGTGGTCAGGATTGAGTGAGATGACATATATAAAGTGTTTAAAATAGTCTCACAGTAGCAAGCACTCAGTAAATATTAGCCATTGTTGTTGTTATTGACCCTTCTAGTTATTTTCCCAAACTGAAAAGATTCCATATCCCTCTTGTCTTTCCTAAAACATCAGTTCATTCTGCCCTTTGATTATTTTAATTGCACTTCTCTAGACCATTTCCAGATCTATTAATATCTGTCTTAGGAGCCGGGCACAGTGGCTCACACCTGTAATTCCAGCACTTTGGGAGGTGGAGGCAAGAGGATTGCCTGAACCCAGGGGTTCCAGACTAGCCTGGGTAACATGGTGGGACCTCATCTCTACAATAAATAAAAAAAAAAATAGCTGGGTGTTGTAGTACACGCCTGTAATTCCAGCTACTTGGAAGACTGAGGCAGAAGGATCGCCTGAGCCTAGCAGGTGGCCTTCAGTGTGCTACTGCACTCCAGCCTGGGCGGCAGAGTGAGACTCCAACTCAAAAAAAAATTTATATATCTATCTATCTATCTATCTATCTATCTATCTATCTATCTTAAATTTTCATTACCACATCTTCACAAAACATCCTGGGTTATTTGTATGAGGTTAATATGATTATTTATTTCAAATAGCCTTCCTAATGACACTGAAAATCATATTTGCTTTTTGAGTACATTGGGATGGTCTGTTCAGGAAACAAACTGAAAATTCCAGCAGCCTTATGTTGAGTTCTAGCTGATAGCTGTGACCTAGTCTTTGTTCTACTTGAATGTAGGCATTCTTTTTACCACTGCCCTCAGACTGAGTCTCTTTACACCTTTATTTCTTTGGATAATGGATGAGCTGTCTCATAGCTTTTTTTTTTTTTTTTTTTTTGAGATGAAGTCTCATCCCGTTGCCCAGGTTGGAATGCAGTGGCACGCTCATGGCCACCCCAGCATCGACCTGCTGGGCTCAGGTGATCCTTCCGCCTCAGCCTTCCAAAGAGCCAGAACTATAGGCGCACGCTACCACACCTGGCTATTGTAGAGATGAGGTCTCGCCAAGCTGCCCAGGCTGTTCTTGAACCCGTGGGCTCAGGCAATCCCCTCACCTCAGCCTCCCAAAGTGCTGCGATTACAGGCTTGAGCCACTGCGCCCATCCCTCACAACTTCGATATTATGCATATAACTCCTAAATCTATCCCTGGTCCTGTCTTCACTCCTGAACTGCAGAGCCAAGCTTCTAACTGCTTATGTTGATAACCGCACTTGGATGTCCCACTAGTCTCCCTCCCTTTTTTTTGAGTTGGGGTCTCTGTTACCCAAACTAAAGTTCAGTGGCAATATCATGGCTCACTTCAGCTTCGATCTCCTGGGCTCAGGCGATCTTTCTGTCTCAGCTTCCTGAGTAGCTGGGACTACAGGTGCACACCACAATGCTTGGCTAATTTTTCAAATTTTTTGTAGAGATGAGGTGTTGTTATGTTGCC